AGTAGGAAGAAGGATGGTGGGGTGTTGATGAGTGGGGGGAAGTTGCCTGAGGGTGTGATTGTGGATGTTGAGGCGTGGGAGAAGGAGGTTGGGGATGGGCAGAAGGGGAAGAAGGGTGGGAGGGGCGGTGGACGAGGAGGTGAGAGAGGAGGAAGAGGCGGTGCAAGAGGTGGTGGTGGGAAGGAAAGAGCGGTAGATGATGCCGGAGATGCGAATGCTGGTGCTTGAGTGTGATCAAGATTGCGAAGGAATCGAAGAGAGATACCTGTGACAAGAGCGATGAATGACTAAAGAAAGATTAGAGACTTGTTGTCGTAAGTGCTGGGTATCAGAAGCCGTATTGCTTACCCACTCTACTTCGGGGTGCAGAGTCGCTATCGGCAGCATATCATTGTAGAAGCCAGGCAGACATTTCACTCAAAAGGTAGTACCACAAAGTTGAAGATTGAATCGTGATGTATTGAATCGGGATGTAATCATCGACCGTAGACGAAATTATGAAAAGTGTGCAAAGGTATATAACAGAATGCCGCCCATGTACTCATGATTGAACGCCGACCGACCCATGACAAAGGAAAAAAGTATAAACACAAGAAGGGTAAAAACATTAGAACTTAAAAGCGTCTTTGCGCTGTAGACTTTTTGGACTCGTACTCAGATCCACTGATGGTTTTGCTTCTCCACGTCGACATTTGTATCGGCGGGAGGCGTTGTTTGTTGCATGGCGAAGTAGTCACGAGCGACAACACCCTCACTTCGTAGTAGAGGGCTGCTGGGGCGCGTTGTGCTGACGTGGTGAGGTGGTTGCAGGCCAGGGGAGTGGGCGTGCTCGGGCTCTGTGACGATGGCGTAAGCACCACCACCCGTCTCGACGCGATCCATCGGTGAGACACCGTCGTCGTGGTCGTCGCCTTCATCTATGCTGCCACGTGTACCGATGGTGCGCACCGTCATGCGTCGACCGAGACCACATTCTGGGCTGGCTTGTTCTTCTTCAAGGCGGATGACAACTTCGACAGCCTTTTCGTCTTCGATGACCTTGGGGTGACGCTTGGCGAAGTAGCGAGCGTACTTGTAGAGTGACCAGTAGCAGCTGGCGACGTTGATGACAGTCAAGACCATCTTGTACGGTAGGTAGTACACGTACATGAGCACCCAGCCAACGCGCTCGCCCTTGCGGCGGAGATGGACTTCGTTGAAGAGGACGCTGTTGATGAGGTACATGACGACGGTGGCGGCGAGGAGGTAACCGCAGAACGAGGGGCGGACGTAGAACGAGATTGGTAGGATGAAGGGCGTGAGGAGGTAGAGCAGTGTTTCGTAGACCTGTTGAGACTGTTAGAATTTGATGAGTGAGAAATGGATTGTGAGTGACTAACCTCTTGGAAGACGAAGATCTTTGCGCCAATCTCCCACCAGCCGAGCTTCCAGCTACCGAAGATGTAGGCCATGTTGTAGTACATTCCATTGACGAAGAAGAAGTTCCAGCGCTTGAAGCGTTGCGAGAAGATGGTCATCTCGCCGAAACCACCGCGAGAGCCACCACCGGAGATGAAGACAGCGGTAGGGGTTTCAGTTTCGACGAATACCTGCGAGCACATCTTGATGCGACATCCGAGTTTGCGGGCAACGTGACCGAAGAACCAATCTTCAGAGACACTGAAACCGGGGTGTTCGTGGAAAGTCTTGACGAGGAGTTCGCGGTCCCAGAGGGAGATGGCACCGTGGGGGAAGGTGGCAGAACCAATCTTGCCAGCAAACTCGCGCTGGATACCACTGAGCTTGTATTCGAGATCCTGAGCTTGTTGGCAAAGATTACCCTTTGACCCGTTAGGTCCGACGGATTTGATGGTGTAGCCAATGCACTGGACCTTGCCAACTAGACGTTCAGTGACAACCGGGAAGTTATCGGGCAGTGCGCAGTCGTCGTCGATGAGCAATACGTTCTTGAAAGCCTTTGCAGCGTAGCAACCGACGAACTGAGCGACAATCTTTGATCCGATGGGCGACCAGATGTGGTTCACGCCGTATGGACGGCACACTTCTTCCGTGTTGTCGAGAGGTGTAGGGCTGTTACCGTTGGCGATGACGAAGATATGCGATGGAGGGAAGATCTTCAAAGCGGCCTCGAGTGTGTTGGCGATGAGTCCAGCAGACTTGTAGCAAGGGATCATAAGGCAGGTGTCGGAAACATTGGACTGGATCTTGGTCTCTGTGGTGTAGTCGGCAGGGGGCGGGTCCTTCTCGAAGAGGATGAGCAGAGGAGCGAATGCGTAACTAGGGTATGTTAGTCAAAGAAGAGGTAGCGATGCAACTGTGTCAACTCACAATAGCGCTATTCCAAGCACGATACCGAAACCACCAGCGATGACAAACTTTGTGGCCACGACCCAGTAGAGCCACCACACAGCACCCTTCCAGAGCGGAATTCCGATAAGAACAAAGTAGACGAAGAGTATCAGGAAGAGGTAGATGGCGTACTCGAAGGTGTACTGCACCCACTTCTTTCGCTGAATCTCTTGTCCCTTTTGCTTCGCCTTTTCGTAAGTACCAAACATCTCACTCCTCTTGAAGTAAGATGCATTGGTCATCTTCCGCTGGAGAGCGTTGGGGACCATGGCATCAACAACGGACTCTAGAGTCCCTTTCCGGGGCCGACCACCCTGGTGTGCAGCTTCAGGTTCCTGAGGCAAGGAGGCAGTTGAATTCCGGTAAGAATTGTTCTGTGTTGCGAAAGGATTGTCTTTGATCGAGTTGGGCCTGGTCGCGAAAGGGTCCTCATTCGACCACTTTGACGACGCAGTCGTAGTCCTGTTAAGAGAGTTGGGCGATGGTGCACGACTGCCCCGAGGACTGAGAGCTAGAACGTCCGTTGACCCGGGGATGTAAGAAAGGGTCCTGAAGGGTCTGATGTTTTCCTCTGTTGGTGATGGTAGTACCCCGCTTTGCTGCGACATTCTTTTGGGACCAGTGTTACTGAACCAAGAGAATCGATTACTCCTCCTGCGTTCGCCCTGCGTCTCTGTGCGTTCGAGATTGGTAGAGCGTTGGGTGCCATTTCGGTGTAAGCCTGAGTCCTGAGTTGGTCGACGACGTATGCTTCCTATGCCGTTGGGATCGAGGAAAGGGTTCTCCGCTTGAGGCTCCCATGTTCCATGTGAGGTATACGTCTTGTCACGTTTGGATCCAAGGTTGCCGGTGGCCCGAAGTAGATGCGCAGGGACAGTGACATCCTGTACGATCTCACTGGACTTTCGTCCATGTGCGTAAACCATGTCTGCCGATTGATGTTCTGTAGGAGTATCGGAAGGAAGGCCGGATGGAAGACCGGATGGAGAGGTCATGTTGTATTAATGATGACCCAGATGAAGGTCCCGGGGTAGTTGTGTCTGTAGAATTACGGACGGGGGTACCCCATTAATACTCGGGAGCCATCTCCAGACCTTGTACGATGTCCTACCTCTAGTCGGGTAGTCGGACAGCCACATCGGGCGATCCGACTATGAAATCTCCTCCTATGTACTATTACCGATCCACTTAGTAGGTGTGGGTATAACCCGGCGTCGATCATCATGGAGGGCGGCATGCACGTGTTGGAGGCATGGTGGATGATGCGCCACAGATGCGGTTGACAGTGACGTTTAGAGCGAGGGCTAGATCTGGAAAGTTCCCACGCCACTGAATCGTAACGGAGCCTCACTAGTTCCCGTCCACTTCTGCTCCAAGTAGCTCCAAATGGATTTGCGTTTCTGATGACCCTGTTCGGGGCACGGGGTTCGACGCCTCAGGCCTTGGATTCTGGTCGTGTTGCATCACTATGGCGTATAGCGATGGGAGTTTGACATGTCTTCGAAGGCCATTTTCTGATGTACGATGGATGGCAAGGAACCCACATTCGTATAAGCGTGGCCAAAGAAATGACATCTCAGTACCTTTAGGTGGGTTGTAGCATAACCCCTGCAAGTCTCGCCCACGTACCTGTCCATGGACAGAGCAGCTGAAAAGATGGATTTTGACAGCATCGCCGACATGGATGAAGCCCGTGCACTGCCACTGTCTGAGCTAATACAGTGGGCGCCGTGAATTGGAACGGTTACTAAACGACCTCTTCGGGTTTGACAAGTAGTTCGAGGCGTAGACTGAGGCTGTGGCCAAGAAATGCCGTCTGGACATGACTCCGAATCTTACTGTGCAGTAGGTCATCTTAGATCGATAGAAGAAAGAGTTTGCATCTCGATACCGTTTACCGGTGTTGCGCGCAATGATCTCATAGTCATTGCGGCTGTAGAAGTCGCGTTCGACTTCTACGCCTCGGTCCTTGGCCGTACACATGCATCCTGAACCTGTCCTGAAGCAGCGCCCGAAGAGATTTTTCATCTCGCACTCGTTTAGGAGTACGGTGGATTGGGCCTTCTACCTCCACGGCATCATCCGTGCTGCTGACAGCGCAGGCCCCTGCGTTGCAGCCTCGGAGAAAGCTTCACCGCGCTTGCGCAGGTACTCAGGGTAATTGTCGTGTTGTTGAGGCCGAGGACAAAGTAGGCAAGGTGACATGGGAGCCTTGCAGAAAGAGTTCAAGGATGCTTCACTATTACGCAACTTTGCAGGGCATCCCGCTGGAAGTCGGCGTTTCTTTTGAACGGTTGGCGCTACTATAGTCTAAGATGTCAGTGCCGTTCGGGTACCACAACCTGGGAGGCTTCGAGGCTCACACTGTGGCGATGCCAAATCATCATCGCGGGGGCGCAATCTGGCCAACTGTTCAGCTGCGACGAGTTTCTTGATCGGGAATCTGCAAGAGATGTACGAGTGAGTGTTGTTGACGACTCGACGATGAGGTCGAAATTGCAGAACGCCGTTCCCGCCCGGGCCGCTGCCAAGGCCGGATGTCATTCGTTACGTCAGGCCCGCAGTACGAGAGAAGCCTTTGCTGGACGTTTGACCATCCGTAAGAATAGCCAACTTCAACCCTTGATCCCACCCCACCAATACAACACGAGATGAGTTCCTACGTGTCCCAATACCCGCCGGCTGTTGAGTCCGACCCTGCATACAAGAAATTCTTCGAGGACTTCTACGCTACGTCCGATGCAGCAGAAGCGCATGAGGAATACGTCCAGTACTTCACTAAGGATGCAACCCTCGTCATGGCTTCCAAGAGGGTGGAAGGCCGGGAAGGTTTGTCGCATTGCTTTTTGTTTTCAGCCTTGCGAAGTGATCCCTGGAATTCCATCGCCCTTCCATAATCTACCGGGCTAATTCTTGGGCGTAGAGATCTTAGCCCTGCGCAAAAGCATGTGGGAGAAAGTTTCAACGAGAGCGCACAAGCCACTCCAAGTGTTTCCGTTCGGTCCGAAGTCAGACGAGGTTATGCTGTACGGGACGGTCAAGTACGGCTTCAAGGCAGGCGGAGAATCCAGTAAAGATTGGGCTGCAAGGGCGCACCTAGTCAAAGAGGACGATGGCAAGGTGAAGATGAACTTCTACCAAGTCTACCTGGTGCGACACTCACCTCCTGTTCGCGTTCGTATATGTGGACTTGAAGCTAACCACGATGCTCAGGATACCGGAGCTTAGAATACCGGAGCTTAGACCATGCAGGTAGATCTTATGTAGATCTACGATCGATTATAGGGGCTTCTCCGGTGCATGCAGTGTTTAAAACAACCGGCATACCGAGGTGACATTCACCGGTGTAGTGTGAGCACTACTTCAGTGCTTACTTTGGTACGCTTTCAAACGAAGCGGTCTTCAGGAGAGACCTCATATTCGGATCGGGCGGCGCAAGTACCGGGTCCACTTCACTCTGAAACACGCGCTGCGGAACCCCTCCGAACTGTACAAAATTGTAATATGAACTGGAGATTAACGCATGGGGCTCTTTTCTACTATGCGGATGTGAGGGCCGCCACCAAGTAGACGATGAATCCCGGTCAGTCACTTGGTTGTCATAAAACCTTGCGATTCACGTTGGCATGTAACCCGACATGCCTAGATACGAATGTTGTCAATCTCGTATAGGTATCCCAGCACCGCCTCATCTCAAAACATCATGCGAATTATTTCGAGCGCTGCGATGAATCAGGGTCCTGCAGGGCCAAGTGCTGCTTTTTCCAACGTCGTGTTGACCCGAAAGAATTTCAATTACACATACACTGGTTCTGCCCCTGGAACTACTGTTACGGAACATAAGAATTGCTTTTTCGTGCTCATGTCCGTTTCCAACGCCCTGGATTTTCTTTACGGCCCAAGGACAGACCTCAGCCACAAGTACGTCAGCATGGGTGCGAATAGTTTGGTACTGCCGCAGTCTCGGCGTGGGAACGCCACTCTGGGCGCAATGCGACGAACGTGGCCCAGATGCATCTAATGAATGGAGTCTCATGTACGAGTGCCGCGTAACGGCCTTCCAGAGCCCAGTCGGAGGCATAAGCAAAGCAAATGGGGCATCTCGTGTGGTGCACCGACGCCTCGTATCATCTGCAGCCAGCACTACATGCTGGACCTAGGCGTGTCTGCAACGACAGGTTTCGCGACCTCCGTAACGTCGCCGAAGTGAGAATACCCCTCAATCGCAGCATATTCAAATACATATGCCATCCGGTGATGCGACAAGGCCAGGCTCCTTGGCTTTGCTGCTGGATGATGGATGTGGCATTTTGAAGCTGCTTTGTGTCGTTCAGACTGTCTGGATGTACAACGCGGGGAAGCAGCCAGATCACAGATGCCTGCGTCATTATTGTTAGATCATTGCCTTATTCGTAATCGTATTTGCATTCGTGTTGTGTCTTCGCTGACGGGACGGCTGAAGAGGACATCATTGATCTTACCAACTCTCTGGCTCCGAGGACGCTAAGAATTTCGCGCATCTCGGGCCATAGTTAACCCAACAGCAAGTTTGTTGTCAATGAGCAGCAGAACATGATGTAATTGATGACCAGAAGGCTTGAGCTAGTAAAGGGATGAAGCGCATTCATTTGCGATCGTCTTTGTCAAAATATAACCATGCGGTGTGGAGGTGTGGGAATGTAAAGTTCGTGGGGCGGGGAAATTGAAAAGTCAAAATCCACGGACGCAGGCGGCTCCCAGCACAACGCCCCGCATTCCCAGGTGTCCGATCAGCAAAAGCTTTGCAACAGTGTGACGTGCTCACGCCTACGAATATGACAGTCTAAACTTGCCGTTTCTTCATCAACAGGCTACAAACCAGCCCGGCTAGCTCAATCGGTAGAGCGTGAGACTCTTAGTCTTTCACGGTCTAACAGACACGATTACTCAGTACATCTCAAGGTTGTGGGTTCGACCCCCACGTCGGGCTTGAGAAGCTTTCTTTTTGCTCCTGGCGTCGTGGGTGGCAGAATGGTGGTGGTGGTGTTGGTGGAGGGACATGGCTTTTTTTTGGCAGTGCCCCACCATCCACGATTCTACCACCCAACAACATCACAAGACACCCAATCTTTCTCCTACTAGCCCACTTATCGTCGAATCATAGTCTAGGAATATCCTACAACATCTTTATTTACATGCACACTAGGTTATCGGCCTCAATCCTTTCTCTTCGCAAGTTGCACACTATAGCTACCTAGACAAAGTCCGCAGTACAGAGTTTTGCATGCAAGAGAAACTTAGAGCAACTGTGACGTACTAGAGGTCTACATTAACCTGAAGTTTTGCAAACAATAAGTCACTTAGAAACACCTACGCTAACTAAGAAAAAAAATTAAACAGGCCTGCAGCCTACATTAACTTAAAACCCTACAAGATAGGTGACTTGACGATAATGTAGGCTCTAGACCTGTTTAGTTTTTTTCTTGTATAAGGTGCACCCGCAGCAAAGAACAACAGCTTCTAATTCACAGTCAGGATTTCAACAATATAATAGAGTTAATTTTAATGATCCTTCCGTCAAACACAAGATTACGACCGTAATAAAGATCCCCATAGCATCCAATATCACACACTGCCTAGAATCAGTATCCATACAAGCTCACCACACCTATCACCATCCCACACCCATTATCCCTCAAATAACCCATCCAACTACCCAATAATCTTACCACCCTCACCACCACCGTCTCCCCCCTCTGAATTCAAACAACTACTATCGTCCTTCTCCCCCGTCAACACCGGAATCGTCAACATCTCGCCCGCAAGAATCAAATTCGGATCCTGGATGTTATTCGCCTTGACGATGTCGCAGATACCGACTGCGTTCTCGGCTGCGATCTTCTCCAGTGTGTCGCCGTCGGCTATGGTGATTTGTTTGCCAGTGCCGGAGCTGGGGTCTGGAGATGGGGAAGATGAGGGGGTGGGTGGGGTGGAGGCTGTTGCTGATGCTGAGGTTGGAGCGGCTGGTGGAGATGGAGATGCAGCTGGTGGAGGTGATGCTGCGGGTGGTGGTGATACTGCGGGTGGTGGTGATACTGCGGATGGTGGTGATACATAGGTCGAGGCGGGTGGTGGTGACGCGGAAGATGCTGGTGGAGGCACAGCCGGTGGAGGAACAGAAGCAGAAGCAGATACAGAGGTTACTAATGTCGTTGGTGCTGGGGCAGGAGGAGCGCCGGATACGCTGCTATGTTCGCAGCGGCCATGCCTGCGATGGATATGAGGGTGGATTGTAGCGGCTGTGCTTGACAACACGAGGGTTGAGAGCGCGAGAAGGATTGCTGAGGTCTTCATCGTTGCTGCTATCGTGGTGCTGACTGAAGTTTGTAGGATGTTTCGAGGTGTGGTATATAGACTGTATGTATGGTATTAGAGAGGAGAAGCTGCCCGGTAGGTGGTACGGATTATAGGTCCAGTGCTTCTTGAATGAGTGATAAGGTCTCGTGAGCGTACCACCTTGAGGACTTTTCATGGTATATGTATTGTAATCGCTTCCTCAGGGCCTAAGGAAAGAAACATTCATGTTCGAAAACGTGGATAAACGCGTTGTTCATGAACGTGAGAACGGTCCCGGAACAATGGAACGAGTGCCTTCCGTCAATGCCGGCGTTCTGTCATTTCGATGAAGAGGTGTCAATGGAACGTGTTCTGTCACAGTGCGTTGGTGCTTAGCTGTCATTGTTCCGTACATCAGGCCCTCTTCCAATCTGTGATGCCGGGCTGATCAAACAACAACGGTACAACACGCCGCCATGTACCAGCTCTCCAAGCTTGGCTTCACGGATCGGCGAATTTGAAGTATAAGGTCGACGTGAAGATTGGCGATTTGCCGGTGTCAAGAAACTGCATTGATGGTACGGACATGTGCTGACAAGTGAAGCGAGCTGTGATGGCCTGACGTGTAACACCTGTCAGTTGTCAGAGAAGACGCGAGCCACGCGTAGCAAAGTATTACCGAGTGTCTAAACCATGAAGGTACCACAGGAAGACCACGAGAAAAAGACTTTGACTTTCAACGTGTTGTGTGATTAGGATATGCTAGAGGGCTAAAATACTGTACAGTGAAAGAACAGAATACGCTCGCTAAAATGATGCGGTAAACAAACGATAACCAAAGGTGGCTCTAAGTGAGCTCACTGACTTGCAAAAACATGCAACATAACAGAATGAAAACAACAGGTCTTCAAGCGCCCAGCGCGATAAGCCTGCTCTTAATGTCCGTAGGCCTCATCATCTGGTTGATGACAACACTGGAAATACTGCCCATGCTGACGACTGACACGTATCCTGGAGCGACTTCGCTGGCCAGAACCTCAACACACTTCATTGCCTCGTCTTTCGAGATCGGTGATCGGATAGAGCCTTGGATTGCCTGCAGAAGGGTGGTTGTGGAGAAGGAAACGCGCGATCCGGGTCTGTTCGCGCACAGTAGGGAGAGTACACCAATGACCTCTGGAGTGCGTTGTAAAGCTGCCTTTCGCTGGAGTTCGGCAGGTGTCGGCGCTGCGGGGCCAGCCTTTGCAGCTTCTTGCTTGGCGAGAATACGGTCGAGAAGGTTCGTCTTGCGGACGGCAGCGAATTCGGTAATCTTGGGCTGGGCGGGTTGAGCTTGTTGGTTCTGGCCCAAGGGCGTCTCGTTCTCCTTTCCGACAGAGGGCCTGGTCTTCTTCTGTGCACGGCCTTGCTGTACACTCTCTTTGAACTCCCTCAGCCTCTTGCGTCCCTTCTCTTGTGCTGGCGCGAGTGCGGTGAGGGATTCGCATGTGGTGACTTCGGCGAGCGGAAGCTGGCTCAGGAACTTGGACATGGAAGTGTCGTCGAGAAACGTGTCCATGCATGCTTGCTTGATATCGGCCTTCTTTGGGCGGCCCCGTCCACGCTTGGGCACCGCAATTGGTCGGCTCATCATCTTCTGCGACGTGCACCATTGTGTCCATAGCGTGTCTAGGCCTTCTTTGAACATGTCTTGCAATCCCTCTTCGTTCATATGTGTCATGCCGTTCATCATTGGGCTGCTGTCCTTGATCTCGATGCAGACCTTGCCGCGGCCATAGTCGGACAGGTAGTAGGGGTTGTTGTTGCCGGAAGGGCCATGGTCGAGGATGCCGATGAGGAGTCGGATGTCATCGTACGTGACTTTGCGTTGCCGCCAGACCAATGTCGTCGATGCAATTAGGTCTCGAAGATCG